ATGCTCTACTTTATCCAACATGATGTCCTTTTCTAGCAATTGGTTTTTCCTGATGATGTGTCCAAAATATCCTTATCGAGTACTATATGCCTCATTTCTCTTTTAGTTGAAAATATTTTTCCTTTATGTATATGATCCCTCCCTGAGAGAATGGATCTGAGTAAAGATGTGGAGAACCCACTACTACTGGTTTCACTAATAATAGCTAACATTTACTGCGTGGTTACTATGTGCAAGGCACTATTCTAAGCATTTTGCATGTATTAATTAAATTCTCATAAGCCTATGAGCATGGTTAAATATTAATGAGGAACTACAGAGTGGGGGAAGGAGATGATGAGCAAAGGCTTGGGGAAGGGAACTATCCTTGGACAGTAGGAGGGACATCTCTTTATCAGATGGAAGAAAAGGCAGAAGGAAGGGACAAGTTTAAGTTTTATTAAGCCAAAATCTTTCTTTACGGAACTCTGTCCTGTATGATAAATAATAACTTTTAAGAAATATACTTTGGCCAAATTCCAATGACATTTTTCAATGAGATCGAGAAACCACCAACTTCATATGGAAGGGAAAGAGGCCCTGGATAAGCAAAGCATTACTGAAGAACAAAGCGGGAGGACTCACACTACCTGATTTTAGAACCTATTATATACTGCCATGGTACTCAGAACAGCCTGGTACTGGTACAACAATAGATACATAGACCAATGGAACAGAACTGAGAATCCAGACACAAATTCATCCACCTATGACCAGCTGATATTTGACAAAGGCCCAAAGTCCGTTAACTGGGGAAAAGACAGTCTCTTAAACAAATGGTGCTGGCATAACTGTATATCCATCTGCAAAAAAATGAAACAAGACCCATAACTCACACCATGTACAAAAACTAACTCAAAATGGATCAAAGGCCTAAATATAAAATCTAAAACGATAAAGATCATGGAAGAAAAAATAGGGACACTGCTAGAAGCCCTAATACATGGCATAAACAGAATACAAACCATAAGTAACAATGCACAAGCACCAGAAGAGAGACTAGATAACTGGGAGCTCCTAAAAATCAAACACTTAGGCTCAGTAAAAGACTTCATCAAAAGAGTAAAAAGAGAATCTACAGACTGGGAAAAAATTTTTGGCTATGACATATCCAATAAGGGTCTAATCTTTAAAATCTTCAAGATACTGCAACACCTCAACAACAAAAAGACAAATAACCCAATTAAAAAATGGGCAAAAACATGAACAGACATTTCACCAAAGACATTCAGGAGGCTAACAGACACATGAGGAAATGCTCACGATCATTAGCCATTAGAGAAATGCAAATCAAAACTACAATAAGACCATCTCACCCCAACAAGGCCGGCACTAATCCAAAAAACACAAAATAATAAATGTTAGAGAGGTTGTGGAGAGACTGGAACACTTATGCGTTGCTGGTGAAAATGTAAAATGGTACAACTACTTTGGAGATCAATTTGGCACTTCCTTAAAAAGCTAGAAATAGAAGCTCTATACGATCCAGCAATCCCACTCCTTGGAATATATCCTAGAGAAATAAGAGCCATCACACGAATGGATATATGCACATCTATGTTCACTGCAGCACTGTTCACAATAGCAAAAAGATGGAAACAATCTAGATGCCCATCAATGGATGAATGGATAAACAAATTACAGTACATACATATAATGCAATACTATGCAACGATAAAGAACAATGATGAATCCGCAAAACACCTCACAACATGGATGAATCTGGAAGGCATTATGCTGAGTGAAATTAGTCAGTCACAAAAGGACAAATACTGTATGAGACCACTATTGTAAGAACTCATGAAAAGGTTTAAACACAAAAGAAAACATTTTTTGATGGTTATGGGGATGGGGAGGGAGGGAGAGGGGAATTCACTAACTAGATAGTAGACAAGAATTATCTTAGGTGAAGGGAAGGACAACACACAATACAGGGGAAGTCAGCATCACTGGACTAAAGCAAAAGCTAAGAAGTTTCCTGAACACAACCAAACACTCTGAGGGACAGGGTAGCTGGGGCTGGCAACCATGGTTTCAGGGGACATCTAGGTCAACTGGCATAACAAAATTTATTAAGAAAATGTTCTGCATCTTACTTTGGTGAGTGGCGTCTGGGGTTTTAAAAACTTGCGAGTGGCGACCTAAGATGCATCAATTGGTTCCAACCCACTTGGAGCAAAGGAGAATGAAGAACACCAAAGACACAAGGAAAATATTAACCCAAGAGACAAAAGAGCCACATAAACCAGAGACTCCATCAGCCTGACACCAGAACTAGATGGTGCCCGGCTACCACCAATGTTTGCCCTGACAGGGAACACAAGAAAATGAGTCCCTGACTGAGCTGGAGAAAAGTGTGGAGCAGAACTCAAACTCACATAAAAAGACCAGACTTAATGGTCTGACACTGGAGGGACCCCCGAAGCCATGGCCCCTGGACGCTCTGTTAACCCAGAACTAAAACCATTCCCGAAGCCCACTCTTCAGACAAAGATCACACTGGACTACCAAATGTAAAATACTACCCGTGAAGAGTGCGCTCCTTAGTTCAAGCAGATACAGGAGACCAAATGGGTGGCTCCTGTCCGGAGGCAGGATGAGAAGGCAGGAAGGGACAGGAACTGGCTGAACAGACACAGGAAACTCAGGGTGGAGAGGGGGAGTGTGCTGTCACAGTATAAGGATTACAACTAATGTCATATAATAACGTGTATAAATATTTGTATGAGAAATTAGCTTCAGCTGTAAACTTTTACATAAAGCACAATAAAAAAAAATATGTACACAAATGTTCACAGTAGCATTATTCATAATAGCCAAAAAGTAGAAATAACCCAAATGTCAATCAACTGATGAATGGGTAGACAAAATGTAGTATAGTCATACTATGGAATATCATTTGGCCATAAAAATGGAATGAAGTTTGGGATGATGAAAATGTTCTAAACTTGACTGTACGATTCTGTTGATATGAAATGTCCAGAATAAGCAAATCTAAAGAGCTAGGAAGTAGATTAATGGTTGCCTAGATAGAGCTGGGGGTGATAAGGGGACTACAGATTGACACTTAAAGGATATGGAGTTTCTTTTTTGGGATAATGAAGGTATTTAAAATTGATTGTGGTGATGATTGTGAAACTCTGTGAATATACTAAAAAACATTGAATTTCACACTTCAAATGGGTAAAATATATAGTATGTGAATTGTTTCTTCATAAAGCTGTTTTAAAAAATCAAAACGAAAGAAAGAAATATACTTTGGGGAAGGCTATCACCCCTGGCCCTATAATTCTGACTTTAACTCCTGTATTCAACAGCTTCACATCAGTTCAGCTACCCACCGCACAGCCACACTGGCACATGAAGGAGTCAGGTGTTTCTTTGTGAAACTACCACTGACCTATGTAAGGTCTTTGCTCTGCTTCCTTTGTGCCACTACAGTAGCTTGTACTGCCCTCGATCATGGAGTTATACCATATTGTAATTGTCTGTTTTCTATGGTAGCTGTAAATTCTTTCAGGGAAGAGTATTAGTCAGGGTCTAGCATAGTGATTTGCACTATATATAAGACCAAACAAACATTAAGCATTATACATAACACATGAAGTAAAAGACTATTATTGGTAAAGATTATGTGAAACGCCTTTTAAAAAACAAGACAGAGAACCAGTTGGGAGTGCACTCCACTCTACCCCACCAAAAAAAAAAAAAAAAAAAGAAAGAAAAAATAGTTCAGGCTCTGAAACATAACTTACTCAAGATTATTCAGTAGGTCAGGGCCCAGAATCTGACCCACTGAAGTCAGGAGTGTTCTCTGCACCAGTGTGAAACCATCCAGCTCTTCCCCAACTTCCCCATCAATATAACCCAGTCACAAAATGAACACACCGAAATCTCTTCAGCTCTGTTCTCACATTGTCTCCCACAGAAATTACTCAGTCCAGTCCACTGTCAGTTTAGATTTCAGGGCAAAATTTATTTGAAGAAATTAAGTAAACTGCAACAGCCTCTCCATTTCAATGTCTACCCCTCCACCCTTCAACATGGCTGTCCCATAATGTATAGGTGGGGAGGGAAAGGGAGAAGGTGTGGTCCTACTGTGCAGTTACTCTCTAGACTTCAACATGTGCTATCTCAGCCCTGAGTTCTTCTGCCCACAGCAACTTGTTGAGAGAGCAATGGTGCTGCCCTGGCAGCATTTAGGTCAGTGGCCATCTCCTGAGTCAACTCACATTTCAGTCACTGTGATCAGTGGTGGTGACAAAAGTAGAAAAGAGGCACAGGCTGTTGAGGGAATACCCTCTCTTAAAGAGGGTTCAAGGAATGACACACAGAATGCTCAATTTGTGGAAGTGTTCAACTACAACATAACAAATAAAGGTTGGAAACGTATCTACTAGTAAGAAAACAAGTTACGATCTGAGAGACTTCTGGAAAGATACAACAAATTGAGGTACAGAAAGACCTCTGCTCACATCATTCCAGCAGTGATGAGGGAAGCTTAGAGCTTAGCTGAATTACTCAAACTCTGAATCAAGTATCCTTAAATAGAGACTGGTTAACTCTTCATAGAGATTGAATGCAAAATTTATCACTATGTCTGTTCACTCTAACTTGTCCCTCATCAAATAACCTTCTGATATGAAATCTCTTCTCCGGAATGGATGCCACCACGAGGAAAGGAGGGTCCATTATGGGCAAATGATCAGTTTAAGTATGACCTGTTAATCACTTTCCTACAGAGTGGTTAAGGAGCCCTGGTGATGCGGTGGTTAAGCGCTCAGCTGCTAACCAAAAGGTCAGCAGTTCGAACCCACCAGCCACTCTACAGGGAAGAGATGTGGAAGTCTGTTTCTGTAAAGAGTTACAGCCTTAGAAACCCTATGGAGCAGTTCTACCCTGTCCGATAGAGTTGCTGAGTCGGAATCAACTAGATGGCAGTAGGTTTTGGTACAGGTGGTTAGCAAAAACCGGGGGTGAGATGAGAAATCTGAGTTTCCAAATCACCAGGCTGAGACCTACACCTACGATAGAGGTTAACACAGACCCATAACGTATCTATCCTCTTGGCATGATTACAAGATCCAGGACTGAGGTGCCATGGTAGTGAGGGGTGAGTATCCATCAGTAGCAGTGGCTCTCTTGTCCTGAAAGTCAGTGTATGGCCTCAGAAATCACTTATAAGTCCAGTGGGCAGTGGCCCAGCCCTGGCCCTTGCACAGGTCCTGGTGGCGAAGGAAACAGGCGTGGACTCTGAACCGACGGCCACAGTGGGGACAGGCGTGTAGGGCTCCAGCATGTGTCTTCATGTGCTCTGTCAGATGGTGCTTCAGCTTGAAGCGCTTGTTGCAGATGCCACAGCCAAAGGGTCGAAGGCTGAAGGTCAGCATGATGTGCCGGTCACGCTTTGGCTTCACTGCAAACCGCTTCCCACACAAGCAACCAAAGCGTTTTCCGTCTGCAGGGGGTGCCTCCCCTAGTTTCACAGGCCCGTGCACAGCTTGCCCTGCTCCCCCAGGTCCTCCACCTCCTGACAGGATTTCATTCCCATGAAGATCCACTGGTTTCCAGGAGGGGCCTCCTCCCCCAGATGGTGCTCCTGCTCCTGAGGGCAGCAAGAATTCTAATTCCCCATCCTTTTCAGTGTTCCCAGAGAACACTTTGGTCTCCTCCTTTGTTCCTCCGGAATGAGTTCCACCTCCTGATAGCTCCTCCTTATGCTCAAAAGGTTCCTGCTTTATGTAGAAGATTTTGAGGGGCAGTGCAGTAGAAGTGGCAAGAGGCTCTGGTGGAGCACTCTCACCCTCTGGAAGCTTGCAGGGAGTAGTGGATTTTGGTGATGGGTGGGAACCATGAAGGCGGGGGAAACCTCCTGACACTCTCTGGGGCTGAGGAGTCTGAGAGACTGCTTCTGACCCCTGGTCATCATCTTCTTCTTCTTCCTCCTCATCTTCCTCTACCTGAATCTGTAATACCTCTCCCAGTTCACTCCCCTCCCCTACAACAGGACTCTCCGTAGAGGGTGACGACTGCACTGGGGTCTGGAAAGGGGGAGATCGAATGCACCAGCCTCCTGGAGAGGATGTAGTGGAAGGAAGTGCGCGGTACGGGGTTGCTCCACGGGCTGAAATTCCACCACCTGAGGCTTCTAGTTCTTTAAGAATCTCTGAGCACTGATCTACTACTTGCCACATCTGGAGGCCACTGGCCACAAGGAGGTGGGCAGGCAGAGCATCTAGTGGCAGGTGGAGGCGTCCTGAGTAAATGAGCTGGAGCAGCCCTTCGAAGGCATCAGCTTCAATAACACTCGGCAGGGTGAGACGTGGTGCATCCCCCAGAAGAAGCTTGTCATGGAAGTAAGGAGAGGCAGCAGCCAACACTGCTTTGTGAGCCCTAAGTTCCCGACCCTGCACCAGGAGAGACACATCACAGAACTTCCCCTCTAGCCTGTGGCGGTTCAGGACTTCCAGCAGCGATGAGCTATGCTGAGGAAACTCGATCTGGATTGTCCGTGGGGCTGGGTTGCAGACGGGGGAAGGGGCCACAGGCGGCAAAGGCGTCGAGGTATCCATGGCCTCCTCGGAAAGAGAGATCCCAGAGGGTCGGGAAGAGGAGAAAGAGGGCTGGGGGGAGACCCCACGCGTTATGAAGGCTGTAGAGCAAAGAGATGGGGTGTCACAGAAGCCCTAGATAAGGGGAACCATGTCTCCTCAAACAACTCCCCTCCAACATTTCTAAACTTTTCAGTCAGTGGAGGTTTTGGCAGATTAGACTCGCGCACTCCCCCATCAAGAAAACAAACAATAACGACAACAAAACACCAACCGGGGTTGTAACTTCCAGGGCCTGTGGAATAAGATGAGGAGGAAGTCCCTGAGCCACAAGCCTGACCTCACCAGCCCGGGACCGCTCCCGCCCCGCCGCTCCGTTCCCCTTCACGGTGCCCCAGAGGCCAGCTCCGGGGAAGCGACGGCCACCCAGAAACCGCAGAGCCCCGCCCGGCTGCCCTACCCGCCGACACGCCCCCGCTGGTACACACGCGGTACAGCTCTATTAGCGCTTCTGCAGCTACTGCGCCGTGCTGAGCCGGAAGCCGCCGCCTCCCCGCCGGACGCCGCCGCCGCCGAGTGCGACTAGCAGGCTAGAGCGGCAGCCAATCAGAGGGCGGTGATCCACAAGCCTCGTATTGATTGGTTGCGCGGGTGAGAGGGACGGAGCTGGTAGGCAGTTGTTGGCCCCGGCCGCTCGGCCGTTGAGGTGTATGGGGGGCGCTGCCGACTTCCGTGTTACTGCTGGGGCGGGGGGAAGGAAGCTAGCCCGGGAGAGCACAGCTGGGAACGGAGAGGGAGAGTTGTGAGTTGCCCCAGAAAACTGCGTTTCCTGGTGATAAAATGTAGCTCTCGCCCCGCCTCCCCATAGGTGCTGAGATGGGCGAGATAAATTGGGCACTTACTGAGAGGTAGGGGCTTGCCCACATCACCTTTTATTCTCCCACCAGCCCTTTCAGGTAGGTGTTGCCATCCTCGGTTTCCATGCGAGGAAAACCGAGGCTGGAAGAGTCACTCGGCTGGCAAATGGCGGGCCTGGAATTGGAAACCAGATTTCCTCCATTCCACGAAGGAGCGTTTTCACCGGCAGTTAAATAAACAGACAAACCTTATTTCTAGGTAATTATTTTTCACTAGGGGTCTGTGGTGGTTAAGTGGTAGAATTCTCGTCTTTCATGGGTGGGGGGACCTGGGCTTGATTCCCAGCCAATGCACCTCAGGGCAGCCACCATCTGTGGAGGCTTGGTGTTGCTTTAATGCTGAATAGGTTTCAGAGGAGCTTCCAGAGTAAGACTAGGAGGAAAGGCCTGGCGATCTATTTTAAAAAAATCAGCCAATGAAAACCCTATAGGTCATCAACTGGCCAGTCTACAACCAATCATGGTGCTGGTGCAGGACCAGGCAGTGTGTTTTCTGTTGTGCACAGGGATGCTATAAGTCAGGGGCTGACTTGATGGCAGATAACAATTTTTTTACAAAGTAAATATATATACTTGGATTCTTTTATCAGGTGCCGCTTCCCTCCCCTCCCCCATCTTTGCTCCTTCAGGCTAAGTGGAAGGGCTAAGTGGAACAGCGGGTGACTGACGGCACACCTATATCGGGGAGGTTTGACTAGTCCCTACAAAACCCCTACTCTTGATAATACAGTGGATTAAATCTCCTTGCTGGATGGGAGCGTCATTCTGTGAAGACTGTGGACTCCGGGAAGGATAATACAGTCATTTTCCCAGGCTGTTAGTCTCCTCTCAAAAAGCAGATCCTACCTCCCTGCTGGTCCATCTTGAGGGTCTAGCCTAGGAAAGTCAGCACAGTGATAAAAGAACAATCTCTGTTTATTAAACATTTTTCTGTTTCACCACACACTCCAGAAAAAAAGGAAACGGGGCTGGGAGTGGAGAAAAACGGACTGGTTGGGGATAGAGAAGGCTGGGAGTTGTATGGGGAGGGAGAACGAGAAAACAAAATAAAACCGGTAGGAAGAGCATCCCCTACCCTTTAGGATGGTGGGTGGGGAGGGAGTCGTGGCCGGGGTGGAGGGGGGAGGGGGGGGCCGGGAAGCTCTGTACAGAGGGGTTGCCCCCAGCCCACACACACACACACACACACACCCCAGATATATACAGTACAAACCCCAGATAATTACAACAGCCAAAGAGGAGAGGAGGAACGGGAGTCCAGGGGTAGGGCCTGAGGTGGGAAAGCAGAGGAAAGGGCACAGGGATAAAATTTCACATATTTACAACTTTTATATAAGTATAAATTTGGCCCCGGCTGGGTGTATGTAGGGAGATGGGACTGAAGGGAAACTGTCCATACAAAAGAAAAGGTGGAGTCTGGGAAGAGTCTCAATACCAAACGCAAGAAGAGATGAGGAGGCAAGGCTAGGTAGGGGACTGCAGTCAGGGAAGAAGGGGTGCCTAGGAGGGGCTTCTCCCCTCCCATGGCCTACCCACCCCAAACCCCATCCATCCTACCTCCCCTATCCCGCCAGAGAGCTATGTACAGAGAAACACCGAAAAATCATGGAGCTGGCGGGAGGGAGGGTGGAGGAGGGAGACTGGGGGGGAGGGAGGATGAGAGGGAAGCCCAGCCCTGTCCTACCTCCCCCGGGGGACAGAGTTATGGAAGGGGGCCCCCCAACACCCCTCCTCCAACACAGGTCCCCCCACCCTGGGGGAGAGAGACATGGCTTTTCCTAGAGTAAGTTCCCCCCTCCCCCTGGGAGGAGAGACCAAGAAGAGAGAGGGGAGGGGCAGGGGGACTGTATGTGAGGGTATGGCAGATAAACTAGTCTGTCCTCCTCCACATACACACCCTCCTAAATCCCATCCCCTCACTCTAACCTCAATTCCACCCTACCCAACACACTGGGGGAGGGGGGGGCATAAGCCCCCTCACCCCGCTCTGGGACCAGCCAAGAGCAGATCAGGTGTGGGAAGAAGGGAGACAACTCCCATTCCCCCCTTGCCGCCCCCTCCCTGCCCCGGTGGCCCCCTCCACCCCATTTGGGTTCTGGGTGGGAAGGGAGTAAATTTAAGAGTGGTGGGAGGAGGAGTTTGTGCGTGCTGAGCCCCCCCCAGACGCTCCTGAGAAATCAAGGGGTAACAGGGCCCCCTCACTGGGGGGTCCCCTCCCCATAACAAGGGGGGCAGGGGAGGCCAAAATGGGGCGGTGGAGGGGAGTTAGATTGTCAGCTCTGGTTACTGCTAAAAAAATCACCCTGAAGTTGAAAGTTTGGAGGTGCCACACCCCCAGGGTGGGGGTGAGGTCTGTCCCCCAGTGCTCAGGGGAATGATGAGGCAGAGGATGGGGATAGCACCCCGGAGTGAAGGGGTCTATGTGGGGTAGGTGGTATCCTGGGGCAAGGGTCCCTGGGGGTCACAGAGGGGGCAGCACCCCGACAGGTAAGAAAGGGGGCAGCTAAGGGTCCCCACTCTCCCTCCTGGGAATGGTGCAGTGGGGGTAGGGGATTGGTGTCCCCCCAAGGAGGCATCCAGGGAGGCACTCCCGCTGTCCCTCGGCGAAGTCCAGTCCTGGTGGTTGGTGCTGCTCCGGGGTGGAGTGCATGGGAAAGGAGGAAGATGGGGTCGGTGATGCTGGGTGGGCTAGTGGTCTGCGGTGTTTCGGAACTCGCCGTTCTCGGTGATCTGTAGCCGGGGTGGGGGGGGCGGGGCTGGGGGGGCCAGGCCGTTCCAAGGTGGGGCCAGCGTCACACGCGGGTTTGTTGGACCCAAGGGGGGAAGCTGCCTCTCCTGCAAGATACCAAAGAGGAGAGCGCGGACTTATTGAGACGCTTCGCGGGGGCCTGGGTGCCAGCCTCCTAGCTGTTGCCTTCCCCCAATAGCCCAACCACTCCACAAGCCATGTCCCACCCCCTCCCCCCAGGACAATCCCCACCATCCTATTTTGTTTCTCACCTGCAGTAGAAGTTATGTCCTCTGGGATCAAGGAGAAGAAAATCTCACCCCTAGACTCCTAACCAGGGCCTTCAACCCAGAGAGTCACACAAGGAAACCAGCTCAAAAGAAACAAGTTCCTACCTCTCCCCCAACCTAACCCCCTCTAGCTTCACCAGCATACTCCCTTTCCAGCCCACCCTCCTCCTCTTGGGAACCCCTCCCAGGCCACCCCCCAACCAGAGGTAGGAACTTTGTGTTGAAGGAACAAGGGGAGGCAGTACAGCAAAACCTCATTAATCCAAACCCCCATGGATTTGGAATTTTTTCATAATTTGAACAAAAACTGGGCTTGAGTTTTCCTTTATCTACAAAGAAAGGGTGTGCTAAGCAAATTAATGTTGGAAATGTGTCTGTAGGAGGGGATATTTAACCTATACCAGAAAACAGACTTTTCAATCCTATCTATTCATTAACGCATGCTCCCTGAGGGCCTTGAGTGGAAAAAGCCTTGTTCATCAAGTTCTACTTACTGTATGTATTTTGAAGACATGCATTTCATTAAATAGACACTGTCATTCAGTTTTGTCACTTATTCAGAGTGGCCATCTTCTCAAATATAACATTCCAAATTAGAGAGGTTTAACTGTACTGGGGGGAAAGGAAGGGGATTCAGGGAAGTGATTCGGAAAGGGAAAAATGGGGGAGGGGTTGCCTCTCTCACACTTAGGGCAAAAATGACTAGAAGCTTCTGCAGAGACACAGCATGCCCCAATCTCTGCATCTCCAGGAAGCAGAAACTGGCTCCATTCCTTTCCACCCCCATCTTCCTTTTAATCCCTCTCCCTGGGATCCCAGCTAGAGAGTGAGAGGTACCAGACCCTACTCACTCCCACACCCCTGGTCCTATTCTCATCTCCTCCTACTAATCCTGGACCAATTCTTGCTTCCTGCCCTCAGCTAAGAGAGAAAAAGAAAACCATCTGTACTTTTGGTCACTCACTTGGCTTTTTTAAAATACAGAGTCAAAATTAATTTTAATACCTTCGTTTAAAGCACAATAAAAAATTAAAAAAAAAAAATTTTAATAGTTGAGCCACAGAGGGACTGATACCCAGAAGTGGTTTAGAACAAACGTCCGAATTGTTTCCAGAGCCACAAGGCATTTAGGCCTGGCAAAGTAGCTATGTTTGACCATATCCCCAAAGGACACAAAAACGTTCCAAGGCTCCCAGATCAGCTCTCCCTTCCATCCCAAGATCAAAGAGCTCAACTCTCAGTCACCAAAACCCCAGCCTTGAGCAAAGCTGCCCTCTTAGCTGGTTGGGTATCTCACACACTTTCTGCAGGTCAGTGAAAGGAAATTACGTATGCTAGGGTATCCTGAACATGGCAGGAGAGCAGGGGAAGGAAACCTCAGATTCCCTTCTCTCTGCTCATCTACTGGCGACAGCACATAGGCATGCCCCTTACACCCCCGTGGACCCAAATTTAGAAACTAGACAAATTAGGGTGCCATTATTCATTTTACAAAAGAATTCACTGCAGGAGTCCTTTAAATGGTGAGGTCCCCTGGTGCCTTTTAGCATCTGTTTACAGATCACTAACTACTCTGACAGAAAGGCTGGGCAGGCAGAGAGTTAAAATTACAGTGTGAGGAGCCACACTGCCCACTGCAGATCCATCCCACAGAAAATAAAACATCTCAGAAATGATGTCAGTTCCTGACAGGTCCCATTTACAGGCTTTTTAGGTAGGATTATGCGTCCAGCAAGGCCACTGGGTGGCGGGAGACGGGGAGTGAGTAGCCCGAGCAACTCGGGGCTGTGAGTTCTGACAAGAATAGAGAGGTTATTTAACATGCTGCTCCTGGCATCTCTGCCTGGGAATCAACATGGCTACTAAGCCAATGATCTTATCTAGGAAGACAACATCTCACCCCACTGCTAACTTCCATGCCACGTGGGCAAGTCCTAACGGGCAAGCCCACCTCCTAACATCTGTCCAAGGTTCCTTTCTTGCCCTTTCTCCTTGTTTTACCCATCAGGTTCTCCTTGTTCTACCATCAGGACATCTGAACAGCATTATTTCCAGGGCCCCCCAAAGTCTCCGTGAGTTAACTAGCCACTCCTAATTCCCGCCCAATGAGGGCTAATATGTGCCCTGGATGCCTTCCACCTCAGAGTTGTACCAGAGGAGGAAGAGCGAGAAGTAGGTGAGGGGTGGAAAGAAGGGGTAGATATCCAAGGTTAGGAAAAGAAGAGGAAACCCCAACCTACCTGCTGCAGTCGGCACAGCCCCGATAGCCAGGGTCCCCCAACCCATCATCACCTCCACCCCTTTAACAAGCCCCACCTCCAGCATCCCAACCCCCAAGAACGCTCTGGTGAAATGGGGGGTGACAGACGTACACTGGAAAGGTAGAGGAAGAGGAGAGTTTAGTTAGGAGGAGGCTGGGAGGGGTGGGTTTTGTAGGATGGGGTATGTTTGGGGGTGTGGTCTGTGACTGTGCTGGGCCTAGGGTAAATGCTTCTGTGTATTGGTAAGGTATCACGGAACAGTTCTGGGAGGCAGCAGGAAGCACTCTCTTTGGGTGGTGCCTTGGGAGATGGGTCTGTGCAGAGGTGTCAGGAGAGTAGGGTCTGTGGAGGTTCTCTGGGTGTGGAAGGCAGTTGTGAGAGGGAGAGGCTCCGGAGGGTCGGAGGGGAGTGGGCTTCACGACCAACCTGCAGTGGTCCGGAGTCACCTCCCCCTGTGTCCTCCGCCCGTGGTCAAAGCGGAACCAGGAGAATTACCTGATGAGGAGCTGCAGGGGGAGAGAGTGGGGTCATGGGGTCAGGAACCTTGGAGGTTATGGTTCGGGACAGCCTGGCGGTCAGAGCAGAGGAAGGAGGAGCATGGGTGGGAAAGTGAGCAGAATTTTGGGAAAGCAAGGGGTAGCATTGCAAGGAAAGCCCTGAAAGCTGACTGGTGAGGACAGGGAGGGCAGCAAGAGCTGGAAAGCTAGTCAGGTGTGAGGTCCAGAGGAGTAGGAAGGCCAAAGGAAGGCCATACTTAAACAGTGAGGAAGTAGGTGGCCTTGGAGGCAAGATCTAAGGAGTCAGGAGGAGAAAGCTATACAGGAGCTGCCAAGGGTCAGGAAAATTGGAGAGCCAAGAGAACAGAGGTGAAGGGGACCCCAAGTCCCCAGGGTACTTTCCAGAGTCTGGGGAACTAGAGCTTATACTACCTTGTGCTCTAGTCTAGCAAACTGCAGCTTTTAGCTCCTCTGGACCAAGAGCTCAGAGGAAGCTACACTCCTTGACTTGAACAGAAGGGGGCAAAGAAGGACCAGGGGTTCAAGGCACTATATGGTGGTATGGGGGCTGCAAGAGTGGGGAGTCTGTTAGAAGGTACTGAGGAGATGCAGAAAGGTGTAGGGAAGACGGGGTGGGAAGATAGAAAGGGTGTGGCTGACACTGCCAGGAGTGACAAAGGCACAGACGATGGGATGAAGATGGGGTCACTGGGGGGCTGCTGGGAGCAGCCAGCAGACTAATGGAGGACAACAGGAGAGACAGATGGCAATGGGGCTGGGGTGGTTGGTGCAGTGAGTGCACGAAGGACAGTGGGATGGATGGGGATGGGACACGGAGAAGATAAATGACATTGTAATTTCCACCTGAGCGTCGAGCAGCCTCTTCTTGGGTTCAGGCAGCGGCTCAGCCATGGCGGGGTGGTCCCGGCGCAGCTCCTCCTCCACCAGCATCAGCCTGAAGGGACGGGCTTCAGTGGGGTTAGTGGCGGGCACGGGCTTGGAGCCTGCCCATGGAACTCCTGATCCTGAGGAAACTCCGCGGCTCCCCGCAAAAACCTTAGGTATCCTTTCCCCCTCCCCAGTCCCTCCACTGTCACAACCCAAAAGACTCCCTGTTACTCAGGATCACGCTCTGCACCTTCCTCTCCCGGGGCCTTCATGTCTCAAAGACCTCTGGCCACCCAGACACTCCCAGGCCCCCATTCTCCCATATTTGGACAGATCCTCCCACAGATCCTCTGTAGCTGAGGACCTGGATTCTTCTTCCCCTGTTCCAACTCACTGAGCCTAGGCCATCTCCAGTGACAGCCCCTGGGACACTCCTAGCCCAAGAGGGATCTCTAGCATCATCATTCCCAGCACCTGTCTTTGATGAAGATTCTCAGTGATTTATAGAATCCACAGAGAGTTACAGGCCCTCATAAAGGATATCAAAAGTGGTTTTCAAAAGTTTCAAGTCAAGTACATTTAGAATAGATCAACATGGAATTGGTTCTGACTGAAGTGGGGCTCAGTGTCACTCCACCTCAGCTCTCAGGATAACTGCCCCCTTGCTTTGGAGCCCACGGCTTGGCAGAGCAGTTGAAAACTAGTGCACTGGGTCATTCACTTTCTACTGGGACACCCTTCTAAGGAAGGAGGAGGGTTTGCCCTGGATGGGGGTGATCAGGGACTACTCTGGCTAGGGATCTCTGCTCAGGTTGGGGTGAACATCACAGCCTGGGCTGAGACTAACCAGTGGGAGTCCCGGCCTAGGCTGGGTCCAGACACACAGTGATGGTTGGGTAGTAAGGACTTTCCAAGACTTTAGAAGTAACTCCATTAGGAGAGAGATCAGGGTATAGTAAGGGGACATTTCATGCACTGAGAGGTTCTTCCCCATCTGGTGATGGTGAGTGGGTCACATCCCTGGGAGTAGGGTGATGGGCTTTCCTGGTGGTCTCCTGAGTCTGGGGATGGAGGCAGGAGGGGGAGTTCTCTTGCTCTCTTTAGCTTCAAGTTCTCCCTTGCCGCTCCTCCCCAGGCCGCCCCTCACCTGCCAATGATGCTCTTGATCTGTGAGTCCTTCTCCACCTGCTGCTGCCTCAGCCTCTTCTCACTCTGCTCCAGTCGGGCCTGATACTGCATCAGGATTTTGCTGGTCTGTTCTTCCTGAGACAACAGCCTCCGCTCATACTCTTCCAGCTTCCGGTTGGACATATGCAGCCGTTCCTTCAGTGAGTGGATCTCCTCCTCGTACTCCTTCACCTGCCCGCCGGGCACATGACCCCGCACTGTGAGGGGCGCCGCACCATGATCCCACCACCCAGTCTCCATCCTGCCTGCTAAGCACAGTTCCTGCATGGTGAGGGGCTTCCCAGCCACCTCCTCCCACCTTTTCCCTGCCTACTGATCATGTACATACACCTACTTTTGAGAAGCCCTTCCCATGGAACTGAGATTCCCTCAAAATGAGGCTAGGTCACAGACTCCCACACCCTGAGAGGTATATACATGACCTCACAAGGCACCCAGACATGAGGACCCTTACAGAAACCTAGAGAGACTCGCAGGCACACCTGAGTGACTGCAACCAGAAATTAAAGATGATGAAATGACTCCTCAGCCCAACCTAGGCCAAATGCATGTGAGGGAGACACAGGAAGACAAGACATTAGATGGGGGACCTGACCCATCAGCTGTCATACATGTGGCTCTGTCCCTGCAATAGGGGTCTGGGCATCAAGTGAGTCCCAGGCAAGAATCTAGGAATGCCTCTCTGTTAGTAATGACCCTGGAATTCCACGGCTAGAAGGGCTCAGAAGAGTCACTCTCTCTGCCCCACTGGCTCTACGGTCTAGATTGCACTGTCCAGTACGGTAGCTACCAGGCATGTATGACTATTTAAAATTTAAGTAAAACTAAAAATTTAGTTCTTCAATCACACTAGCCACATGTCGCTAGTGGCTACTGTATTGGACAGTGCAGACTATAGAACATTTCCCTCGTTCCATAAATTACTGTTCTACTGGACAGTGCTAGTCTCAAGCCTTTCAAGGATTTTTCATCTGAACAGAAAAAAATGATTTGCGGGACTGTTTTCTCAGTTTTCCGAAGAGGGTACAAACATAACTCAACACCATTCTAGATGCAAAGGAGAACTGTTAATTCATTGCCAGTGATAGCTACCTTAGTGTATAAGGGCTTAATTCTCTCATGAAGTTGGTGGGGAAAGGCTGCTAAACGAACTGCTTATAAATCAGACCCAACACATTCCTCTGCTCAAACACCACTTCCCCCAAGAAACCTCTCTACACTCCATGTTGGGGTCATGCTTTATTTACATATGCCCTAATCCTACAGCTACCTTTTCCTCAAGATCCTTGCAGCAATGGCTTCCCCTAGTAACTTCCCTGCTGTCATCTGTGCTTCAGAGCTCTTGGTGGCCTTTGCCCTCAGCCTCTACTAGCTGAGAGTCTAGACAGTCTTTCTACACAAGTCTTTCCATACATGGGCCAACACACACCACTTTCCAACATGCAACCGTTGCACATGACCCTCTGTTACCTATGCCCATAGGACAGTGACTGGAAAAACCACACACTGTAGTATGACTGCAACCCCCCTCCCTGCCCAGTTTATTAACTCAAGCTGTTAGTAAAGTAACTTCTTTCCCGAGCAGTCACAGGAACACAGGGCTTTGTGTTCTCCCTGAGGAAGAACATGGAGATAAGCCTAATATAGAACACATTTTTCCACAGATAGTCTACAAAATGTGTATAATCTACAAAATAGAGTTGAAATTGGCTTGACTGATTGTGTATCTATCTGATCTTCCCTCTCAGACTGAAGGCTTCTCAAGAGAGGGGATCAGGTCTTTCTGTTTTTTCTTTCCACCATAAGTACCTGACCCTGAATATTTTCCTTGGAAGTGACTAGAGGCCTCCCCTGGGGGTACAGGGAAGGTCAAGAGGTGTGGGGTTGGCAGGGCCCGCGTACCCTGTCCAGCCGGCTCTCATCCATCGATTTAGAGTACTCCTTGAGCTTGTACTCTTCCCGCTCAATGTGGGCACTCTCGATGTCAGCCGACAGGTGAGGCATATTGGAGACCCAGGCCACTGTCCGTTCGGAAGCTGGCATTGTGGGGTTCAGTGTGGATGGCGTCTGAGAATGCTGGGACACAGCAAGGGTAGGGGCAAACAGAGAGAAGATAGATGGGAAAAGGCAGGGTGCATTTATAGAGGGAGAGAGCACAGCCAAGGGAGATGATGGTCCCAATCCTGTTACCCTGCTCTAGCACTCATCACCTTCTGAATACTCTTATCAGTTACGTGTTTATCATGTTTCCCCTTTGGAACGTGAGCAACATGAGGGCAGGGATTTTCATCTGTGTTGTTCACTGCCTTATCCATAGTGCCTAGAACAGCACATGCTACATAGTAGGTGCTCTATATATACATTTCTTGAATGAATGAATGGAAATGAGTTTATAACTTCAGACCACAACCTCTATTCCACCCTCATCCCCAGCCCCATTTCCTTCTTCCCTCCCTGCTCTTTACCCATCTGGCCTTCCTCCCACCCTCACCTACCTGCTTAGTGATGGAGGGCTTGAGCCCCCCACCCCCTCCTCCGCCACCGCTGCCCCCGCTGCCCCCAATGCTGCCCTCCTTGCTGAGGCTCTGTTGCCGTGGACGGGCGGGGCCGTAACTTGGCTCTGGTGACTGCAATAGATTCCCACTGGATGGCCGGGGTTTCTGGGCAGCGCTGACTGTCAACTGCTGAGACTTGCCCCTCTGCAATGGAGGTGGTTGGCCCCCGCCACCCCCGCTGCTGCCCCCACCACCACTCCCACCTCCAGGCCCTGAGGGGGCTGGCCTTTGGGGACCAATGGTGATCTGGGGAGGGGACAGCATGTGCTGTAGGTTGTCCTGGAGTGAGAGCTGCCGACGGGTGAAGTCAGTGCCAGACGGTCCAAACTCGTCGCTGTAGCTGTGGCTGTGAAGGATGGAGGCAGCAGGGGGCTTGGGGACCCCAGAGGAGAGGTCCTCACTCTTGCTATAGCCATGGAACGGGGCGAAGGTATCCCCAGGGGGCTCTCCACCTCGGTGGTGGTGATGGTGGTGATGGTGATGATGGGAGGAGGGTGGGCCGTGGCCACCACCTCCTCCGTGGCCCCCTGGGGGGCCTGGCCCATCGGCAGCCATGTGGAAGAGAGGGTTCTGGAAGGAGAGGGGGATGCGCAGTTGCTGGGCAGGGACACCGTCCGTGGTGACACCCATCTGGCTGAGACGCATGCCAGCTGCTGTGATGGATGAGCCACTCCCCTGGGAGAGGCGTCCGGCAGGTGCAGGTCGCAGCCCCAAGGCCGCTGTTAGCGAGGCCTGGCTCGAGTGCAGCAGGTCCCCGACAGCCGCCAGGTTGGAAACACTGCTGCTGTTGAGGCGGCCACCGGGCCCGTCACCCTGCAGGTCCAGCATGGACACACTCTTGTTGACACTCAGCATCTTCTGTTCTGGTTCTGTGATGTCCGAGCTGCTTGTGCAGTATGCTGGCGAGGAACGGGCCAGGGGTGGGCGGCTCACGTAAAACAGGTCTTTACCCCCACCAGGTGGGGGTGGGGGTGGCTTTTCCTTGGTTGGGGAAGGGAGGCGAGCCATGTCCATAGAGCTGTTGGGAGGGAAGGGGCACACAGCAGAAGGTAAGGCCAGGGTTACTGGCAACTGAGCCTGCTATGGTCTGGTCCAGGCTTTGGGATGAAAAGTGGGACCCACAGGGGAGGGCTGAGAGCTGGCAGTGACAGCTCTGGAGACAGCAGGCAGGGAGGATGGGGGGGGGGTACTTGGGAAGAAGGAAAGGACAAGGCCCCTCCAGGAAGGGAGTGAGGCCTAGAGGAGGGGAGATGGGACCAGCAAGAAAAGGGATGAGGGGCAGTATCTGGGCAGATATGGAGGAAATGAGGGTACACTGAGGAGAAGAGAGGAGGAGGGCGAAGGCCAGTGGAGTGGGAGAGGGAGCAGACAGGAGAGGAGAGGAGGGTGGGGGAGGGGAGAGCCCCTCACCTGTTGAGGCCTCGAGCCATGAAGGACTGAAGGTCGATGGAGCTGGAGAGAGATGGAAAGAGGGGCGAGCACAGACAGAGAGCAGGAGAGAGAGATGGACAGAAGGAGAGGTGTGGACGAATGGAGGACAGGTGGGAATGGTGGAATGGGTATGGTGTCATGGAGAGAGAGATACAGGCAGAGGAACAAGCAGGGTAGTCATCAAAATAATGAACAGCAGGTAAGGCGTGGGCGCCGACCCATCAGAATGGATACTTGGCTCTGGAGCAGACTCCTGGAGGCCCTGCTAGGCTTCCAGTAGTTACTTCTCTAAATGCTGGATCATGCGGAAGTCTGTAGGGTTCTGGTGGGGGCCTGGGAAGGTGCTTAGTTACCAACTAGTACCAGAGGTATTTGACTATTTTCAGCACACAGCTGAACTAACATGTGCTAGCTGAACTTCAGCCCTGAGACAAGCATGGGCGGGTATGGGGACAAAGTGAACCAGAATTTGCAGTGGGGATCCTCACACTTGGGAGCTTAAGGAGCCTCAGCACCTTTTCTGGGGATCTGCATTCTTTGCTCCCTCTGGCTTTAAAGGGCTCTCCGCCTACCGCTGACTGTACCTGTTTCCTTCCCATTTTTCTCTAACAACCTGCTTCTTATCCCATTCTTTCAAGCCCTAGAAAGACACATGTGGGTCCCAGAGGGGGTATCTGGGCAGGCAGATAGGGGCTCCCAGGCACAGGTGTGGGGGTCCCAGGTGCTCACCTGTTGAGGTCCCGCATCATGTAGCCCTGCATCTCGGCCGACGGCCCCCGCAGCACCATGGGCTGAGGCCGGGGCCGCTCACTCTGGCGGCTTGGCTGCCTTTGGATGTTGGGGTTCCTCAGAGCCGTGCTGATGTCATTGAGGAGCCGGGGCAGCGGGCCCAGCTTCAGGAGGGCTTCCTGGAAGGGGAAGGGTGTTACCTGGGGGCTAAGAGCCCAGCTCTCAGAGGGCCTCAGGGTGTGCAGGTGGGGGTGTCTGAGCTGGAGGAATGGTGGTGACACTTCCAGGAATAGGCAGGGGAGAAAAGGGACCTCTAGAGAAATCTGGAGATGGGGCAAAGGAGCCCTTGCTGACCTTGCTGAGCTGGGGCAGCACCTCCCAGAGCAGGGCATGCAGTGTGGAAAGCTCTCGGCCCAAGTCGATGTAACCCTCAAAGCTACTGCTGTTGGTCAGCGTGTCTAGGTTGGAGATCTCGTACAGGAACTGCTGCATGGAACCCCACTCCAGCTCCAGAAACTCATTCATGAATCCCAGGAAGTCCTCCTTTGAGGTAAACCTGGCCAAATGATCCAGAAGGTGGAGATCACACAGACAGAAGGCCTCACACCCACCCCTCTCTCAGGACTCAAGAGACCCTTCCACCCACCTCCAACCTCACCCCACCCCCTGCTTGAGGCTTCCCTCACTTGGAAAAATTGGCCAGATTCTGGATGACCTTGGCGATGAGTGTGAGAGTTCGTGAGGTCTGCTCATCTGGGTATTCCTGCATGAGCCCAAAAAGACTGGGCGACATAATGGCTGGGCAGAGGAAGCGCAGGAAGAGTGAGGCGCTGATCAGCCTGTCAGCGATGTCCTCCCGGCCCCGCTCTGCGCAGCGCAGTCTCCAAGATGCAAACACCTCTTTCAGCTCCCTCGGGAACACGCTGGGGGAAGGGATAGGGAGACAGAGAGAGAGAGAAAGAAAGAGAGAGACCGGGACTGAGCCCCAGAGACCCTCAGCTTCCAGGGAACATGCTGAGGGGTGTGGTAGGAGGTGAGGGTGTGGAAACAGGCAAGAGAGACAGGGAGGAAAGGACCGCAGGAGGAAGACGGGAGGCTGGAAGAAGAGGGCCATGGCAGAGGGGACAGACAGAGTAGGGAGAGAGAAATGGAGGGGGAAGAGAAAGTGAGGGAGAGAGACACGTGGGAGAGAGATGGAGGGGTGTGTGAGAGAGACAAGGAGAGGAGGAGAAGAAAAACAGACACCAGGGAGAGACAGAGATGGGAGAGAGATGGAGGGTCACTTGAGGTACAGGGAGCTCGGACCCCCCAACTCTTCTGGATTCCAGGAAAATGGGGATGAAGGTAACCCAGGCATGATCCCCAATCCCTGGAATGGCTCAGAGCTACTCCTCCGCCTCCCTGTTCCACTACAATGTCCCACTGACACCTTAAATTTGACTTGTATAAAATGGAGCTCACCATCACCCCCACACCTCCAACTGGCTCCTCCTCCTCCTCCTCCTCCTGACTTCCCTGGCTCTGTCAATGAGGCTACCAGTCTCCCGGCTACCAACCCCATGGCCTCAAGTCATCCTCTCCTCCCCAGAGACATGTCCCTGCCTTTCCAATCAGGTGACAACTCCTGCTGATCCCTTCCTCAGAGGTCCTTCACAGCAGCACCTTTCCATTTGTTCCTACCACCATCCGGACTCAGGATCTGACCTTCATGCCTGACCTACTAACAACAGCCCCCAACTGGCCTGGACTTCATACTCCTTACTCCAGTCATTCCCCATTCCCACTACTTATGGATTTTCTCATCCATAATACTTCCTGGCACCAGCATCTTTAATGGCATTCCAAGACCTACTGATGAAGCTCAAACTCCTCACCCTGGCATCTGAAGCATTCCAGATTCTAACTCTAATCCACCTGTCTAGACATCTCTCCCACCACTCTCCATGTACTCCATTAAACCTGTTCTAATTGCTGTCCCCCGAAAGCCTCTGGGCCTTCTCACCTTCATGTGTGTGCCTGTGCCATAGCCTTCTGAAGTGTCTTCCTTGCCTACCATGTCCAGATTTTGGAACCTGACAGTCTTCAAAGCCCAGCCCAGGGACCCCTCCTCCACAAAGCCTTCCCTGCTTGTACTGATCAAAGTACTATCTCCTTTGACCTTCTGTTGCATGAGAGAACCCTCACCTGGCACTTAACTCATACTATAACTGTTCTGTGACTATTTGTACAGCTAGTGTATCTCTCTGTATTCTGGTGAGGGCTCTCTGAGGGCAGGGACCAGGCCGCATTCATCCCTGTCAGCTCTATGGCACCCAGCACATCCCTACATCCCTAACTGGTTCTCAGTCCTCTTTGAGGATGGACAGATGGATGAACAGATGAACACATGACTCAGCCCACCCTAGCCCCCCAGCCCAGCGTTCCCAGTCTCACCAGTGGGAGTTGACCACTTTGCACAGGGCCAACTCACAGCACATTCGCAGGTTGGCCTGGTGTTCTGCCAGACTGGATGCTGTGCACTTGATGGGGTCCACCTCACAGTTCTCCTCAGACTCATACAGAGCACGGATGAACTCCCCTGGGGGTGGGGCACAACAGGGGGAGATCATGCTTTCCAAGGGCAAGGGCAGGGGGCTTTATCACGTTGGGAAGGGGTGAGCTTAGAGTCTGGGGTAACCAGGTTTGGGGTTGGAGTGGGCATCTGGTGGATTTGGGAAGAGGACCTGAAAGTGGGGCCATACCAATGGCATCCTTGAGGTATTTCTGACCAATCAGTCTCATGTACTCTTCTATGGCTTTAGTGGCGAGTGTGTTCTCGCGAAATATGAGGTGCTCCCGCTCCATGAACCGGTCCACCTCAGACATGGCCATGTCTGAAAGGAAGTCCTATGGCCGAAAAGAATTCAAGGGTCAGCCTCTGCACAGCCCAAGTTCATAAAGACAGTATCCTATCCTCACTGCCCCTCAAGCAAGTGTGCACTCCCACGTCACCTTTCCCTGAGGGCACAGCACTCACCTTGGCCTTGCCTGTGCTTTGCAGGATGTGAACCAGGGCACTGGCAACCTCTTCCTTGCCCTTGACATTCAAGGCGGGCTCTAACACTGCACACAGCATCCGATAATGATTGGTGACATATTCCGCAAATTCCTTATATAGCTCCATGGGCAGGATGCTCATTGTCTGGTAACGTGCTTTCAGCCGCACAGCCGGGCAACCTCCTTTGCCTTTGCCCCCTGAGCCTCCCCCTGAGCCCCCTCCCCCTCCTGAGCCCCCCATACCCCCAGAGCCCCCACTGCCCGTCGGCAGGGTTACAGGGTACCACTGCTCTGTGAAGTGGCGCCCAGCCAGGGTGGCCACAGGCACAGTCACCAGGCCAACATAGCCCGCCTTGTCCTTCTTGCGCTTTTTGTCCGAGTCACGGTACAGATGCAGCCGCAAGGCACGGACAGCCGGCAGGTTGTTAAACTCGAAGTGCTCGCCCCAGAAGACAGTGTCCCCCGAGGCCGAGCGGGGCTTGGAGGTGGTGCGAGCATACAGCATGTCATCCAAGCAAAGCTCACAGTAGTACCGCTTCTTGGGGGGCAGCTCCCTGGCCTCTATGATCCACAGCTTTAGCACATTGTCTACCCGGCGACTGTTGTCCTGGCATGGGAGAGGTGGGCACAGTGGATAAAGGGAAAGGGATAGAGAGACAGAGACACCACAAGCAGAGAAACAGTGAGAAAGTGGGACAGAGTATACCAACGGTGATTATAAGGCTAAGAAGGGTAGCACATACACTAGATGACATAGTCAAGATTGAGAAGGATTTTAAAAGCTGGAATAAGAAACCAATCAAAAATTAATGGCCGAAAAAAAAAAAAAAGTTAATTACACAAATATAGGATGGGTGAGGCTTGGCAGTTGGTGTGAAAAGGCCTGAGGGATACAAATGGCCACAAGCTCATGGTGAGGCTCAGGTAATGTTACAATGCATTGAAAAGGAGCATGGGGTTTCAACTCTGCATGGGTTAGAGTGCATCCAGCATCTTGGGTCCAGTTCTTTAAGAAGAACACTGAGAAACAAGAGCTCTCCAAAGGAGAGTAACCAGGACATTGAACTTTCTGTAAACTGTGATACAGAGAATAACTGGCAGGACTAGGAGCATTTCACCTGGGAAGTAGAAAGTCTGGGGAAGGACACAGACATGTAGAATTTCTGAGCCAAAAGAGACCTTAGAGATCATCTAGTTCAACCCCATTCTCACCAATTTTTCAGAGAGGAAACCAAGGCCCAGAGACTTGGCTAACTGACAGTCTTATACGTCCTGTAGAAATTCTGTATGCAGGAGCTGGGTGGCGATCTGCTGGGGTGTTAGTGAGGCATGCCTGCCCAGAGGGAAGTTGGACCAGAGTCCCATCAACTCTAAGTATGATTTCTATGGTAGGGAGATAGAGCACGAGGTAGGCTAGCAGTGGAGAAAGAAAGTGAAAAGGGGCTCAGAGAAATACAAATGGCCATAAGCTCACCCCCTGCTCATCCAGGTCTTCTCCACCTCTGCCCCTCTCCTACCCCAGCCTCCCCTCCTTTAGCTCACCTTCCTCTCTAGGCCCCTGGCTTCCTCTGTGGCTCCCTCTTTCCCCTGACCATACTGTCTTTGTCCCCTTCACTCCCCAATACCTTGTTGGGTTTTACTGCCCGCTGCAGATTCTCGATCCACTTGTCCCTTTCGGCCGCAGATCGACAGGCAAAACATTTTGTTCCTGATGACGTTGTTACCTAGAAAGGGGTGTGGAGTTGAGACATGATGCTCCAGCGGGGAGCTGACTCCTATGGACTGGAGTTTCCACCACCATCTCTTCCTCCCTGGCCTGTCCTCCTTCCTCCTAGCCCCAGAGGTTTCTGTTTCCTTGATATCACCTCCTGTGTCACTTTCTCCAGGCTTCTCTGTCCCCACCCACTACCACCCTGCCCTTTGGCCCTCCCCAGCCCACCAGATCCAGTACCTCAAAACAGAACTCCTGGCCTAGGATGGAGCTGTGCACTGGCTTGATAATGGAATCCTCATCCAAGTTGAGCTCCAAGGCCTCAGCCGCACTGCTAGGACTCAGCAAGGACTCGTGGGAGTGTGACTCCTTAAAACTCTGCATCAGCCGGGCCCTGGCAGGCAGGGGGTTCAGGAAAAATGGTCAGGGCCCCTCACCCTTCTTACACATTTAGGGGCCCTGCATCTGACTGTAGGATGGGGATGTAGGGAAAGGGCCTCCTGATACCCTTTCTCACACAGACACAGACAGAAACGTAGCTTATCCCTGGGGAAGGACACAAGGGATGTGTGAGAACCTAGAACCTTTTAAGAGTTCTCCCCAGTGCATGACTAAGGGATTGTGAGGACTGGGGATGCCTAAAAACATCTTAACCCAGAAATGATTCATGGCAGAAAAAGAAGAGAATAAGGTGGGCTTAGGAGACTTCTAGGTGACTACCAAAGCCTCAATACAAGCGAAAAAGGGAAAAACCAGAGGTACAGAAGTGATAGTAAGAAGTTTGTCTGGCCTGGGCCTGGCACACAGCTAGTGCCTAATAGCATTTAATGATTAAAAGAATAAATGAATAAGTGAATGCGGTAAGAAGACAGGTTTAAGCGGAATCGGGGAAAGAATGAGGGAACATCATAAGAAACTGGAGAAAGCTGCTGCAGGCAGAAAAAAAAAAAAAAGACACCGAAGATAGGAGCCTGAAGAAGATAAGGACAGGGAAGAAAAGGAGATAGGACAAGAGATAGAAAAGAAGAAGACAAAGATATGTCCAGAAAGACAGGATGGGAGGAGACCAGGAGGGACAGCTGGAGAGGTTGACACGGGAAAAGAGAGAGCAGGAGAAGAGGAAATACAGAAAACCACTGCAGGAGAGCAGAAGATCCAGGGGCTGAGGGGACTGGTGGATGGGGCCCGGAATAGGCAGCAACAGCCGTATGGAGATGGTAGCGGACTAAGAGTAGAGAGCAGTAGGAAAGCGGGAGGGGGAGCTCGGGTGTGGGAGCCTCCATGAAGCTATTTATAGCAGCCCCGTCATCACGGGCTCCGGCTGCCGTCAGCGCGACGCTCCCCCGGCCCCCCACCCCCGCGGCCAGGAATACCATGCCCTCATCCCCTACGGGCCCCAAATCCAGCTCTGGCGACATGGGAGGGGGGCAAGGGAAGGTGTGACTCACCTTATCCCAACCTCCCTACCTGCCCAATCCTGGGGGCGGCCAGACATGGGGGAAAGTGAAGATAGGGTTCTCCCTGGGGAGTGATTGGGTGAGAGGGAAACCCAGAGAGGGACCCCAAGAGGCAGATAACAAAGGCAAAAATCAGGAGATCTCCTTTAGCCCCAGCCTCAGGGACAATGCCCTCTGGGCTTCTCTGAAGGCTTCTTCCTCATGCTTCAGTCCCGGGATTAACCCTGCAGCCTCCCCTCCCCATTCTGTCAATCTGTATATCTGCCCCAGCCCCTTCTATACCCATCACCCTCTATACTGTCCCTTCTATAGCCCCAGACCTCATCCGTAAATATCTGCCACTCCAACACCACCCCAACCTGCTGCCCCCTGTACTTCCTGCCCTTCCCTTCCACCTAGATCATATTGCTCCTTCTCCCACCAACCCACCACCCTCTTCCCCAGATTCCTTAAATGTTCCTCCTGGGCTTTCTCACTCCTTCTCCGTCCTTCTGTACAGTTCCTCTAATCCTGGGCTGGAGCCCATCCTTCTGTCAGCCTGAAGAGTCCATCCTTGGCTTCACCTTCATTCTCTTTTCTGCCTCTCTGCCCTTCCTCCCCCTGCACCCGACCCCTCTCCTGCTGCTTACAGCTCTTCTACTCCGTTCTGTCCCCTACCCCATAGTATCTCTCAACCAACCTGAGACCTTCAGCCTTTGTGCTCAGATAACCCTAACCCTTCTCATCTCATTTCAGAGCCCCCAGGTTACATCCATCCCATCCCACATGGTCTAGCCCCTGTACCGGTCATGGTCAGCACTTCGGAAGCGAGGCAGGATCTGGCGAAAGCTGCTGGTCCGGTCAAGTTTGGGTTGTGACTTCGTCCGTTTGATGGAGCTTTTTAGCCGCCGGCTCAGGAAGCCTTGCTGAGGGGGAGATGGGGATGGGGTGGGTTGTGGCCAGGTCAGTTCTACCTACTCACCCCTCAGCTGGTAGAAAGTCCCTGACAAAGGTGGGATGGGGGAAAAAAAGGGAAGCCTCTAGAGGTGAGGAAAGGGGTTTAGGAGCCCTGCTACCAGTTTGTCTTCCTTTGTTCCCACGGGTGTGAGCGCACATACAAACACACGCGCACCAGCTTGGAGAAGGTGGGAGGACTGGTCCGAGAAGCAGGGGGGCAGAGCCAAGAAGGGGGAAACTGAAGAGGTGGGGAGACACACACACACACACAAACACACACACACACACACACACATATACATTCTTTCTTTCTCTCTCCTGCTCCCTTTCTCAGAATCCTGGGGCTCCAGCTGGGGCTGAAGGGGAGGGGGCCCAGCTGAGCCACATCTGGCAGGTGCCTTTATTCACTCACCGAGGGCCGGAAGGGTGCAGCAGGGGCGGCCTCCATGCTGTACTGCTTCCCCCCTGGGACGCTCTTTCTCCTCGAGCGACCCAAGTGGTATTCTGGAGGACAGGGCCAGAGGGGAAGTTGGAGAGAGGGTTAGGGGGAATTTCCACCCCTGGCCCCAGTGCAATCCCCCCCCCACCCTCTGCCCCTTAGCTCTGGCCTCACCTACCCCCCGGAAAACAGCAGGAAGAACAGCGGCGACTGAGAGGCTGGTGGCGGCGGGAAGGAGGGGGCAAAGAACCCGAGCCGGAGCCCCCAGAGGGGGACGGGGTGGGAGGCCTTGGGCCCATGACTGGGGCTGGCAGTCAGCAGGGGGGCATGGCTGAGAGAGTTAGTAAAACCCCAGTAATAAAGGATACCAAAGATCCAGGGAGGCTATGTCCCTGGTGCCCACCTCCCCAAGAAGGAACTAGCTCGTGGGGAAAGATGGGTCAAGGGTCATTGCCCACAGGCAGGCTTTCCTCTTCCCCCAGCTGGGGATATCTTCAACCTGTCCCCCTTCCTGGAACCCCTGTCTGTCCAGAGTACCAGGGCTGTCTCATGACCCCCTGCCTAGAATGGAGGGGAGGGTCCTGGAAGGGACCTGTGAGGGGTAGCCATCAGAAAATCCACGGAAGGGGCAGATGGAGCAGGGGGGTGGGAGAAGGGGCCAGTTCCACGTGCACTGCAGTGGCAGGCACTCCGAAGGGGAAGAGGGAAAGGGAAAAAAAAAAGAATGCAAGGGAGTAGGCAGGGAGTGGGGAGGCCTGGCAGTGGGGGTTCTGGGGACTCCCAAGTGAGGGCAGGGAGAGGAGGAAGAGGGAAGGTGAATGCGGATGAAGCTCAGACTGGCAAGAGTCTGGAGCGGTGGCGGCTAGGAGGAAAGAAGCTGAGGCTCTGCTGCCAGGGGATTTAGAGAGGCCTAGGGGCTCCAGGAGAATGAAAGTGGGGGGATGCCAAGCTCCGGCTCCAGCTCCAGAATGGCTGCCCAGGCCTGGGCTCCCCCCACAGCCCCACAGTCACCACTGCAGCCAATGGGGGGGCAGGTGCTGCATCAGGGGCGGAGCCAACATCTCCACGGCAACAAGAAGCTACAGGCTGGGGGGGGGGGAACCGGAAGAGCTGCCTGTTAACCCTCTGCGTTCCAAAACAAGGGAGGGCCACAGTTTCGTTTTCACTGCTTCCAGAATTGCAAAATTTGCCCTAGAATCAGTCCCTAGCTTCCCTTTTTACCTATAAAACCCAGGTGTTAGGAGGTTTGCACACAAAAATGTGGATCCCATGACACAGGAACCCTCGTCAGTCCCTCAGGAACACATGTGTAAAGCACAGACACATACACTGACCTGTGGGAGTACATTTATATATGAACCACAATACAAAAAATAATAGAGAGCTAAAAATGAATAAATAAATAAGGATCTTATGTACTCAGAGGTCCCTGGATGGTGCAAATGGTTAATGTGCTCGGCTGCTACCCAAAAGGTTGGAGGTTTGAGTCCACCCAAGAGTTGCCTCAGAAGAAAGGCCTGGCGATCTACTTCTGAAAAATCAGCCACTGAAAACCCTACAGAGCACAGTTCTACTCTGACACACGTGGGGTCGCCGTAAGTCAGAATTAACGGCAACTGGTTTAATTGATATGTGCTTATGAGACATACATACAACTGTGAGCAGAGGGGTGCAGATCCACACAGGATACATGCTTAAACATATGTGAACACTGCAACAGGGGAGTACATAATTGGACCCAGACACCCGCATGAGGACTGCTGGTGTGGACATGTGGCCCAAGTCCCTGGGGCAATCATGTGGGCAGCACGCTACAGAAATGGACATCTAACCCTGACACACACATATAGCCCCAACACCAGGAGAATGTCAGTTTAATCCCTGCAGTACACTCCTGAGTACACTGTGAGCCTGACAAATCAAGGTATCCCCATATCCCAAAAGCACAAACATCCTCCATTCACAAGAATAGTACAACCACATCCACTCTGTCTTGGGACAACACTATTTGCTCCCCCAGTCCTTCCCTGACTCCCAACACAGGCAGGAGCAACTGCTAACGGAGAAAATAACGAGCAAATATGTTAATTCTCCTTCTGTTACACTCTAAACAATGCATCTAAGGGTTCAGAATATATTTCCTATCACATTTCTCTGTATTTCTCAGGTATGGCTTTCTCAGTCTCATTGCAGGGAAACTAGCTCAGCCATTATTTTCACATGCAAGCTCCTCTAATCAAGTCTAACTTTAAATCCATTAAAATTTGCTTGGACCTAAGGAATTAACAGAAGGAAAACAAATTTGCTAATTGTTTGGCAGGGTTCTTGGAAGTAATATAATCTTACACACATTACCAGGAACTAAGATCCATGAACTCACACATAAGTCACAAGTACATGGAAGCCACATACACACATACGCTTACAAAGACTCTTACTGCTGTAAGGAAATGAATAGCAGAAAAGGGGGCAGAGTGACAGAAACATAGGACATCCTGTTATTAGTGCTGCATGCAGTGACATGTACAAAGAACACATCGCATACCCATGTACACACACAGAGCAAACCTGATAAGCATGCACTCTGATCTTGGGTCTCCATGTCCCATCCCTGCACGATGTATACACGCATGCACTCACATAACAGCCACCTACACAGACCCGTAACACAGGCATTATGCATACACCCACACATGTACACGCCCTGTGTACACACACAATTGCACTCACACACACATACACAGCAAGGGCTTGGACTCCCACCTCTCCAACGTCTCTAATTTTGCCATCACCCATAGAATCTCCCCCTGCCTCCCAATCCTCCAAATCCCTAACCTTCCCTCTGGCCTTTCTTTCTCTCCACACTCAGCTGGCAGCTCCTTAAGGGGAGCCAGGGGAAGGATGATGACAGAGGATGAGGAACAGGGTTGAACAGAGAGCACGGATATGGGGGGAAAAAGCTCTGGGCTGGGGACAGGAACCTCTAATGATGGTCCCGGTGGTGACAGGGCCCATTGTGAGCCAGCCTGTATGCCTGAGTGGCCTTTCCTGATCCAACCAAGCCTGATCCCAAAGGGCCTACATTAATTCAGTGCCCTCTCCAATCTTCCCCCTTTCTTCTTTCAGAGATCACTTTACCCAAAGGCCTCTCTCCTCCACCGCCCTCAGCTCCCAGGCCCCTTCTTCTCCCAACATCTCCATCCATTTCCCCATCTTAGACTCTCTTAGTCCCTCTTCTCTCTCCTAAATCTAGTCCCAGCTCTCTCCCACAATCTCCAGCTATTCTGTCTCTCTTCTCTCTTCCCCACCTCTCTCACTCCTCCTCTTCCCATTCTACCCCACTTTTCCTCTTAATCCTACTCCCGCCCTTTTCAGCTTTTCTGCCCCTACTCCCTGACCAAGCAGAGGTTCACACGTGCCTAGCCCAAAGGTGTTTCACACAAGGTAGGATTCCAAAGCACACACTCACACACTCTTCCCCCCACAACCACCACTCACACACCACCCACATCCAGACACGCCCTGGACACCAATGCTGGGATTGACACAGAAACCCAGGTCAATGCTGGAACATGCATACAAAGACACACGCCCGCCAGCAGGGACACAGAAAATCCTGCTCTTGCAGCCACACATCCCCACACACAGGAGACTGACGGGAGGTGAGCCGCAGCCGAAGACATGCATGCTCAGGGTCAGGGGTGACATGGACCAGCATGGCCCCGGACTGCTCCACTAGCCAGTGGCCCGCCCAGCAGCCCCCTAGGCAGGAGCTCGGCAGAGGGCAGGACAAGGCAGGGCACGCTTGCACACGGTTGGCCGCACATGTGTGCACATGGCACCGACACACAGGGGACACGAGCATGGGCACAAACACACGCGGACACACGGGCTGCCCCTTCCACAGAGGGGCTCCAAGACCTTCCCCACCGGCCGCCCCCGCGCGCTCGTGACCCTGGCCCCCACGAGGACGGTTCCCGACCCCCCGACCTCCACAGCTCCCCTTCGGTTACCATAACTCCCCCCACTCGGAAGATGCAGCGAGAACATGCGGAGGGAGCAGCTGCTGCCGCCGCCGCCGCCGCCGCGGCCTCCCCGCCCC